GAGAGGTGAGGAGAGGAGAGGAGAGGAGAGGAGAGGAGAGGAGAGGAGAGGAGAGGAGAGGAGAGGGAGAAATTTCTAACCAGAAAGTAGAGGACACTGATCTAGTGAAACTACTTAATCCTAGAGTGGAGGGACGACCATTGTCATCGCAGAAGTCCTGTCTGAGGAGGTTACTGTAATTCCTAAGTAGTTAATTGGATCTGTTGTCCCTCAGCCTCTGGTCATGGAGGTCAGGATGTCTTGGGCTGACCCATTGACAAGAACTGTCAGTGCCCTTTCTTACAGGCAACACTAAGAAATAGGTCTTATTTTCCTGCAATCGGAACAGCGCTGTCCTTCCACCTACAGCCCCTGCAGCCATCTGCTGGGGGAGATGACAGATTTCCTGTCATGCTGAGGAGAAGACTCTGGGGAATCCTTGGAGTTCCCAGTAGGGATCACTTACTGTTCTTTGCTTTCAGTCTCATTTCCCCCAGGTACCCCAAACTCCTTCCTTTCCTGCTCTGGGTAGTTCAAGTACCTTATAGCCATTGTTGGTGCAGTGCCCTCTGCTTCCTGCAGAGTTCCTCCTCATTCTGTGCTCTTGTTTTCTCCTCTGGGGGGCCTGATTCCTAGCTCCCATTCTCTTCCCTTCCCCTTTCAGAAACTCAGAATACATTGTTTTCTGCTGTGTGCCTGTGTTCTCAGTACTCCTGGAGGATTCCACTGACATTAACATCCAGCCCTCTGAGTACCAGGCAGAGGATGCCTGCCCTCTGTCTTCAATGGGCTGCGAACCTTGGGAGCATAGGGACCTCCTAGCACAATAAATACTTGTTGAATAAGCTGACAAACAGTCAATAAGTGTGGCCAAGGGACAGCGTGTGTATTAATCACTGTCAACAATCGTCTATAAAGTGCTTATTCCATGCTAAGATGAGCTTGAAGATTGAGAAGAGATTCCAACCAGAGTGACTTTTAAGCCACCTCTTTGATGAGGAATGATGACACCTCGGCTGGGGGAGTTAATACAATTGAGGCGGTAAACGCAAAGTGAATTCAGAAGGCAGTGGTGGAGACGGTGGCTACTGAAGAGTCCGCCGGCATAGTTACTCTCTTCTCGCTGTGGTATAAAAGTCAGCACCCACCTTCCAGCCATGCTAGGCACCACTAACCCTCTGTTCTGTTACCTCTCTTTTTGGAGCCCTGTCTAGTATAGAACTTGCTATGTAGACCAGGCTGGCTTATGCACCAGCACACCTGGCCTGTTCTGTTACCTTTTTAGAGACAATTTTCTTAATTTTCATTAATATACATGAGGTGTCATCTGCTTGACATTCTTATCTACCTTAAAGAATGTAATTATATAATTGGCCTTCCACAGGTAGTGTCAGGCCCAGTGTGCTGGTAAGTTTGTATCATCTTGACATCTCGAGTCACCTGGACAGAGATAACTTCCAATGAGGAATTACCTAGATCAGATTGTCATGTAGGGCATTTTCATGATTAATGGTTGATGTGGGAAGACCCAGCCCACTGTGGCAGTGCCATTCCTGGGCAGGTGCTCTTTGTTTGCACAGGAAAGCAGATTGAACAAGCCAATAAGTAGCGCTCCTCCGTGGTTCCTGCCACTGCTTCTGCTTAAGTTCCTGCCTTGGCTTCTCTCAGTGATGGAGATGCATAAGCCAAGCCAGCCCTGTCCTCCCCAAATTGCTTTTGGTCATGACGTTTAGCACAGCGATCGAAAGCAAACTAGTTCGCCCAGCATGCTTTGCTTCGAGGTTTAAGATGGCAAAGATACATCAGCTGTATCTTTTCAAGGCCAATCAAGCTCAAGTTGGCACGCTCTACCATACTGGCATCCCTGGGGGAGAGGGAGGGAGGCACCTGCCGGCAAAGGTGAGGTTATGCAGTAATGTGAGGGAGAAAGTATACATGACAAATCATTTGTGTGTGAGTGTGTGTGAGTGTGTGTGAGTGTGTGTGTGTTGTGCAACCTTCTCCTGCAGAGACAGGAACAAATGTTCATTCAGCCCACAGAGCCCTGATGGTAAAGAATGATTGCATGCAAGTCTGGCTTGGGAAACCAGTGAGTTTACTGGGGTTCCTCCAGGACCATGGGTGTTTTAAAGGAAGCTGCATCCAGAACACCACCCCTGAGGAGTCTTCTCTCCCCAGCTGTTAAACTTGGCTAGAAATAGCTACACAGAAATCCCTTTCCTCCTTCCCATCTCTATCTGTGTTTGTGTTTAATGAGTGGTTCATTTTAAGTAATTGTTTCACCTGCCTGGTAAACCAGTAATGTGCTGTTGGAGACCTTGGGAAGGTCGAATTTGAGTCTGAAGGCCATCTGCTGTCATTCTCTGTTCTTCGTGGGAGATTCATCTTTGTTCTGTTTGAACCTCCATCTGATCAGATCAGTCTGCCCACAGATAAGCATCTACTTGACACAAGGTCTATTGCTTTAAATATTGATTGCAATTTAAAAAAGTAACTCCACAGCAAGCTCTAGAATAATCTTCGGCAGATGCCTGGGTTCTGTGGTGGCTGGCTCTTTAGCACAGACTGTTGGCCGCTATGGAAGTGAGAAAGTCGTGTCAAGAGGTCACTGGAGCTGCAGGCTTGCTACACAGGGCAGTCAGACTTTCCTCCTGACCCTACCCTTGCCCACTCAGTGATCTCCAGCAAACCATGTGTTGGGTACCAGTTCTCCTCTGAGGCGCTGAGAGAACGCAGGTGGATGAACCCAGGACACGGTTTATTGTAAGCTCTTGGTGCTAGCCGTGTAGCTAGGGTTCTGCATATGGAACATATGCACAAGGGAATGGATGGGGGGATGCTCTAAAGGTCTGTAGTTCACAGCGGGTATGAGCTGAGTGGTCGATCTGGCTTTCCTGTGGCCATGGGACTGAGTGTATCTGAGTGTCAGCAGTTGGTGCCCTTTGGATCTGGAGGTGGAACCCTTTCTTCTTCAGGAAGCCTGCTCACTGCCTTCTCCTGGTCGCTTCCTTTATGCCTCCCACTCACCTTCTTAGTGTGTGTAAACTGCTGGCAACCTGTTTTTTCTCTTCTCATCTGCTCTCCTGAGAAGGATTTTCCTATGAAGGTCCAGAGGAAAACTGATGGTTTCCTGTGGGGATCTGGCTTCTGTGTTGGGGAGCTTTTCATTGAATGCAGTGTTTATCTTTCCAGAGGAGCCCTGCCTGTGATGGGATGGCAGGCCCTTCATTGTACAGAGGAAACTTATTTACACTTGGAAATTGAAAAGGGCAAGTGCTGGAAGCTGTTCTGGCTTCTTTGATGTCAGCGCTTTCTCTTCTGGGATTCAGCGGAGGTTTTTATGTTGCTTCTCACTTACACGCCTCCCAGTGCCTCCTCTCTCCTTCCCTGCTCTGTGACTGTCTTTCTTGTCTCCCTCATTCTTCCTCTGTTCCCTGTACTATGGGGGAGGTATATCTTTTATATCTTTTGGCAACAGCTGCCTCTGGCCACCCCCAAGGCTCAGAGCAAGGTGGGACCACTGCTCAAATCTTTATTGCCTGTTTGTGCAGTTTACCCTCTCTCAGACTCTCCCTGGGGAGGGTTTCCCGGGAGAGATCTATTTCCTTGGAGGTATGCCTTCTCCCACGTAGCAACTGTCCAGCATGTACATAGTCTGGGAAGCCTTTGGAAGGACTTTATTCAAATAAAACCTGCTAGCGGCCAGCAAAAGAGCGCAGCAGGTAAAGGTGTTTGCTGCCAAGACTGACAGCCTGAATCTGATCCCTGGAACCCACACTGCAGGAGAGAAGCGATTCAGGTCATCTGTCTTCTGACCTCCACAGGTGCGCCGTGGCGCATCCTCACCCATACACGGACATACAAGTGCATAAATAAACGCAATACAAACAAGGAAATAAAAAGCTGGATCAGCTAGGAGGAAAACCTAGCATCCTGTTGACTTCTAAATATTGAGCTCGCTCCCTTACATGGTCAGGTTTATCTGCATAGAAAGGACTTACAGCCACTGGCTCTGCAAAGCAGACACGAGCCTGACACATGGTTGTCTGGGCTAGCTCCAACGTTAGGGAATCAGCACCCTGTGTACCCCGCTACCAACACCCAACTCTATTTTCCAGCTGCTGCTTGGTCTCTGAAAGCTATTAGGAAATTGTATTTGAAGAAATCGTGGTGAACATAGAGGAGCATGGTGGCACATGCCTGAAATCCCAGCACTCAGGAGGCAGAGACAGGAAGATAGGCATAAGGTTTGGGGCTGGCCTTGTGAACTATTCTGAGCTATAAAATCCCCCTCCCCATCTCGAAATACCAAAGCAGAACATAGTGACAAGCCTAATCCCAAATATAGGGAAAGGAAATATTCTCTGTGGAACTCTCGAGAGTAAGTGCCAGGTTGGGAAACTGAGGCCGGAGCTGGGATGAAGTTAGAGATGACAACGCCCTTTCTTCTAGCGTCTCTACACCTTGCTGTTCGAAATGTTCCAGGCTGTGGAGATGCTGCACCCAGCTTGAGCAAACGTTTGTTTGTTTCTGAACTTTACGATGATGTAAGACTAAAAGTATCATATGGGGTTGAAAAGGTGTGTTTGTGTACTTGAACAAAAGGACGTGTAAATGTCAGAGGAAGCCCATGGCACACCTGGGCTTGACTAACGGAGGACTAACAAAATAAAGAGAAAATACTGTTCCTTATGCCATGGTTTCCTGCCCTGTTGTCCCTGCAGGCCGCCAGCTTCCTGGAGCCGAGAGGGCCTCCACGGCTACGGCTGAGGAAACTGACATTGATGCTGTGGAGGTTCCACTCCCTGGGAATGACATTCTCAAGTTCAGTCGTGGGGTGACGGACCTGGATGCTGTAGGGAAGGAAGGAGACAGAGACTCTACGGTAGGTGATCCTCTGAGCAAGCTGTATGCCTTATGGCTCCCCTGGCTGCAGCTTCAGAAGTGAGCTGCCCTGGTCACCCAGTGGCAGCGCCAGAGCATATTTTGTCGCCTTTTCCAGAGGTCTGACTTCCGCAGGTTCAGCATCCACAGGCCAGCACACATGTGAGGGTGCCGTGGAGCTTGTGTCTGAAGCTTATTGCCCGCCTGGGGGATCCCGTCAATATTCTGTCCCTTTCTCCATACACAACAGCATCTTGTGATATTTGTGCAGAGCCCACCCAACAGACCCGTGTGATACAGATAATCACATAACATAGCAAAAAAAAAAAAAAAAAAAGTCTGTTTGAGCCCTCTCGCCTCATCTAGCAGTCGTGTGCCTTTAAAACTCCTGTGTAACAGCTCTATTGAGTCTGGAAACTGGCCCACGGCATGTTAGAAACTGAGACCACATTAAGGGGGGCCTCATCACCCCAGCCTGCCATTCCACGGATAGGACAACTAAGGTGTAGGGAGCTTCTGATATGATCCATGAGACAAGCCCTGAAAGCCCCAAGACTAAATTCAAACTTAGAGGCAACTAAGCTAAGGAAAACAAAAACTGAAAGGGAAGCTCCCGACCCTTGGGTTCCCAGGAAGCTCTCTGGCACTTTCTATCCTCCAACTCAGATTAGTCCAGTCCATGAGGAAACACCTGTGTACTTTGGCGGGCAGTGCCTCCAGTTTTCTCTGCTGCCCCATGACCTCACTACTAGGGGCACTAGGCATTTGTCCCCGGGTGCCTTCTTCCTGCATGTCTGAAGATCAGCAGAGCCACTGGAAACAAAACCTACCTCCCTGGCGTTCAACTCTGACTTACTGGAGCCATTTGTGTGAAAGTGTCCATCAGGAGAAAGAGACTGCAACTGTGGTCACCTAGCTAACAGAGGTCCCTCCGGGTCATGTGATATCCAAATGTTCTTCCTTCACTGTGAGACGAGATGGGAGAGGATGGAGCATCTGACCCCAGAATAGGAAGCAAAGGATAGCGCGGGGAAGAGCTGAGACCGTCTCTCTCTTGTTGCCATAGTAACGTGATAGGAAGTTGTGTACACAAACATAGATTCTAAAGCTAGAAACCCCAATTCAGAAAGGTATATTATTGGAAATGAGGGGTTAAAAAGAAAAAAAAATTTTTGTCAGCTGCCCGTCTTCCACCCTATTGGCAAATGATGTTCCCAAGGTATGGAGATAGAATTTTCTGGCTCTGTGGTCCAAGCCCAGGTGTGCCCGTATTTTCTCCCTGGAGCTATTCCTGTCCTTCAAGATGCGGCATCTCTAGCACATGGGTTTCATTCTGCCCATGTATCCATCGCGACCATTACAGTGAGAGGGAGCTGGCCCTCGGAGCTGGCTTCTGCCTATGAGCCATGTTCTGTCTTTTCTCTTCAGGTCTCACCCAGTCCTCAGGAGCCCATGCTGACAGCCTCACCCCGCATGCTGCTCCCTTCTGCTTCCTCGAAGCCACCAGGCTTGGGCGCAGGGACGCCCCTGTCCACTCACCACCAGATGCAGCTCCTCCAACAGCTCCTCCAGCAGCAGCAGCAGCAGACGCAAGTGGCTGTGGCCCAGGTTCTCCTCAGCCTCCTCCCTTCTTCACAGGCTCCACTCTCATGGGCTTGATGCACCTTCCCTAAGCGAGGGGCGAGGGGCAGGTTTACAACCTAGGGAGCTCTAAGGAATTGCTCATGCTATTGGATCATTGCTTGTTGGGGTTCTAGGAGGTGACAGGGGAGGGGGACAGGTGGGAGCTATGGTTAAAATGGAAAAACACATCGGTTCCCCCGTGTATCCCTCGCTCTGAGTTAGGCTTGGCTGGCTTGGCTGAATGTTGTTGGATGATGATTTGAATGTACCAAGGAAAAAGAAGTACGCAGTCCCACCCTCCCTTCCCTACCTTATGTCCTCATGTTTGGGGTGGGAAGGGATGCCTTTGGAGTTAGGACAGGGGTGACAACTCTTAAAACAGCTCCAAGTGTAAATCTGTGACCAGCATCCTTGCACAGACTGCTGCTCAGGCATCCCAAACCCTCTTGACCGGAACAGGTCCTCAAGCCTCCATTAGTGACCTACTTATTCCAGACAGTATTTGATTAGGAATTCATTATAATAGCAATGAACCCGTGGGAATTCAACTAGATGATCTGAGCCATTTGAGAAATGGCTACCTTTTAGCATCTGGATGGAGTTTGTGCCCTGGAGTCTGGTTGGATCGTTGCTGCTTTGGGGAGAGGATTGAGCTGATTGCCCTTGCTGCTTTCAGCAGGAAACCCTTCTGTTTGGTTTCCACTGGAGGTCGTTGTCATCCATGCTTCCTTGGAGTTTCGTAGTTTGAGCCTTCTCTCGATGATGGGCAGGTCAGGGAATGGTGAAGACACATGCATCTGTTCCGTGTAAAAGCTGAAGTGTGAAGCCAGAGCCAGGCAGGATCAGGCCTTATGTGGGTAAATGAAAGTAGTCAGGAGGATGGGATGGGATGGTTGGAGAGTTGTCTGTGAAAGGCTACTGTGTGCACCAGTGTTCTGGATCGGATAGGCTTGACTAGGTGCTGAGATTTTCCCTGTTCAGTACAGGAAATAGGCTCCTCCAGGGAGAATCTACTGATCCTTCTGTGCGATCTGCTTCCTCTTCCGCTGACTCCTGGATGAAGTGAATTCCCCAGCAGAGTGATCCTTCCGTCTGCTAAGGCTTGGCCTGAAAGAGCCCTCTTGTCATCCAGCCTTCACCGACTGTCCCTGAGGCTGGTGCCTTGTGGGTCACTTTGGCTCCTCATTTCAGAAGAGCGGAACCAGTGGGACGATGCTCCAAGTAGCAGACAGAGTCTTGGAGGCGGCATGGGGGTGGCAGATCTGACTGTGAAATCAAAGGCTACGCCATGCTGGCGGGAGGATTTGCAGGTGTTCCCAAATCAGTGACAGAGAAAAGGGAATGTCATTAATGACTTCTTATATTTGGAGGGGGGGGAAACGTTCTTTGTCAAATGAAAGAATCCATCTCTGGCTAATGACAGCATGGCAGTCTGAGACTCTCCTCCTCAGTGTGGGGGTTGACAGCAACACAAAGCCTGTGCATCTCAGCCCCGGCCCACCCCGAGGCTCAGCATTTCCCCAAGTTTCCCACTGAATGTGGATCCATTCTCCGAACGATTCTCTTTCAGCATATCAATTCCCAAGTAATTATTATTTACCCAAGAGTAGGTCTGATGCATATTCATGCTGTCTTATTAGCAAAGGGCATCTGAATTTGAAGTCTCAGCTAAGTGCTAGAGAGAAATCAGTTGCAAGTGTCACATCTACACGCGGCATTCTAGCAGTGGAAGGAAGCACTCAGCCTGTACTCAGTCAGACGCACAATTTGTCACAGGTCAGCCTCCATCAGGGCCAAACCTAAGAGTGGCTTTCTGACATAGCAAGTATCTGTCTTAACAAAACCTCCCTGCCCTGCCCTATTCTAATTGCCTCTCCCCTAGAAGGCGTTGGATCTAAGGAAAGGGAACCGTGTAGTGTTCCAGATCCATTTCGTGAGCCTCTCTCTAAGTTCTAGGCGATTCACCAGGTTGGCCAGTCCAAGCCTCTCATTTGCTCAGAATCTATTGGGTGTAGATGGCAAGTGAGCTGCTGGACCCTTGGCTCACACAGTAATACAACAAAAGGCTGCCGTAGGGCAGTGACGACTTTGAGCGGTAGACTTCTGAACTTTCCGTCGAACTCAACTTAAGGTCATCTGATGGCTTCTTGAGCATAGTCCTCTAACCTGTCCCTGCCATTGTCCTTAAGTCACTCTCTGACCACCTGCCTTCCATCTTCATCTTATATCTACTGCCAGGGACACAGGAGGGTACAACTGTACTCTCAGCTGGCCCTTGTCCCCCCCGTCCTGCAGGTGGGTTCAGTCTTAAACCAGCCTCTTCGAGCTCTGTTCCTCTGTAGGATTTGATCAAAGGACTTTCTGTCATTGTCCCCATCTATGGGTCTAATCAGTTATGTAAGGCATGCAAGCAGGCTGATGACAGGGCATCCTGGCATCTGCCATGGGCCTGCAACAAACCAGTTGCAATACCCCTGGTTCTTCCGCAGGACCGATTAGTTCCCTGTGGGGATGTCAACTTTCTCTTGTTCTGTCAGACAGCTGCTGGCACGCAGCAAGGTGTCTCGTTGAACCCCCAGTGGTCCCAGAACACAGCAATTGTAATAGTCATCTTGGTGTTTAGGTTGAGAACGTTTCCCTTTCTCTGAGCTCCCAAACCCTCCTGTATTACTTCTTAGACTAAAATCTAAGGGTAAAGCCCCAATTTCTTGCAGATAATGTGTGCTCTTAAAGCCGCTTACTGCATTCTTTATGGCCCCCACTGCAGTGGCTCTCACACACCCATCTGTTTTGGCTGTTTGCCTTCGGGACCATAGTTCATTCTTTTTGATGTTGTCGTGACTTTTTCTAAGACCTCAAGCCCTCTTCCAGCCTCACCTCAATTCCTTCAGTGCTGATCTTGATCAGGCCTTCTTTGGCCTTAAACACGTATGAGCAAAGATGGTATTAACCAACTCCAAAGGGTTTCCAGGTCATTCTGCAGTGCGTAAATAGCGAATTACCCTAGTCCCTCTGAGACTCCCAGCCCAGCATGAGGCTCGCCTGGCTGCATTAGCTTCCGCTTTTACCTGGACCAGAAGTTCAAGGGTGTGGATGAAAAACAAGAGCCACACCTTGAATCGTACCTGGGATGTAGTTGGTGCCTGCATAGCTGCATGCTGGGCCTGCCTGGCTCCAGGACTGTGGCTGATTGACAACAGTTAAGTGGGCCAGACATGTTTACAGTTTGCCAAGCCCTAGCCTAGCTCTTGGGAAAATGGTAGTGAAGCTCATTGTTGCTATTTAAAGACCTCCTCTGCCTGTTGCCACTTCCGCTTATTTAGGAACAAGTAATTTGTTATTTATGCTTTGTGATATTGTGTGTTGTGGTTAGAGAAACAGCGCTGAAAACTGCACCCCCACCCTGGCCCGCCACGTAGCATTCGTCCTTGTGGCTTCTCCCAGTCCCCAGTCTTGCCCAAGTCCCTGGCCTAATGCATGCCGAGACAGCGCTGCCTGCCTCTGCTTTATCTGGTATAGGGAAGTGGGGGTTGGGGAGGGAGGGATTGCTCTGGTTATCCCCGCTGCCATTTCCATGTGCCTGCCACTCCCTAACTTCAGCCTGGCCCTGCCCCCACTTCTGATGGAGGAGCTGGAGTCCAGGCAAGTAGGCCGGAGAGTGAGTGGGGCGATGGTCTGAGGTGGCCGGGTGGGTTGAGGGTGAGTGCCAGACTTTGGGGAAGTGGTACCAGGGCTGGAGGGGCCAGGGTTGGTGTTATACGTGTTGTTCTGGGATTGGGATGCAGAGCTGGATGCCAACACGAAGTGTGGCTCTAAGTGCCACAGTGCTGTGTTTGTGCCTCTGGCTTAGTCTGAATGGAATAGTCCGTACTCAAGGTGCTCTGGAGAGGAGACATTCCACAGTTACCTTTCAGAACGGACTATGGTCAGCTGTGTGGGAAATGTTGAATTCTTTGTAAGAAAAGTGTCTAGGCCGGGCGGTGGTGGCGCACGCCTTTAATCCCAGCACTCGGGAGGCAGAGGCAGGCGGATCTCTGTGAGTTCGAGACCAGCCTGGTCTACAAGAGCTAGTTCCAGGACAGGCTCCAAAACCACAGAGAAACCTTGTCTCGAAAAAACCAAAAAAAAAAAAAAAGAAAGAAAGAAAGAAAAGTGTCTAACGATAAATGTCCACCACTCATGGGGGTCGGCGGTTAGGGCGGTACCTTCTACTTCTGTCCTACTTGGGAAACAGAGCCTAAGCCAAGGGTGAAGCGAACACTACCTCATTTTAGCAGTCCTGTCCGAGTTTAAAGAGCTCTAAGCTGTGCTGTCCTCACTTGGCCTGGTTTGGGTGCTGCAGGCAGAGGTCTGAGCCTCATGCTTGATTCCACTTTGGATGACTGCAGACGCAGGAGGCTCGTTAGTGCTGGCTTGGGCAGTGACAGCGGCGCGTTGTTTCTGTGCTCGTGGGGCTTAAAAACATCCAAAATGATACCACTCTGAGCTGGCAGAGGTAAAATTCTTATGTAATCCGGAACAAGAGGCACTCGCTCTCTGGGGTGTTTGCTTATGGCACTTAATGTCAATGGGTTTTACCAGAAGCATAGTATTCAAGGGTCATCTCTAGGGTGTTGATGGCACTCCGCCTTTGGAACTTGGACACCTGCCAGAGAGGCTTCCAACACTCCCCTAACTTCTGCAAGAAGGAACCACTTTTTTTTTTGTTCTCCCTTCCAGTTCTCAGATGTCACCATGGGATCTGAGGACTTCTTTTAAGTGCCCTCCAGTGTTTATGACTGTCTGAATGCAGAATCGGCCATCTCAGCCCCTAGCCAGCCCTTTCCCGTGACAGATGGGGCAGATGAGCCCAGGGAAAAGTGGGTTGTCTCAGGAGTCAGCGAAGACACCAGCACCCCAGCTGCTAGTCTCATGCTTGCTTCCTAATGATCTATTCTGTTGGGATGCTGGTACCTGAGGGTGTAGCAGGTGTATAGCCTATAACAGATGCTAATTAGTGGTGTTCAGGGCTCTGTGCTCTCTGTTTATCCACTGAAATGCCACCTTCCATATTTCTGTCTTATATTTCTGTTTGATTCCAAAATAAGTAGAAAGTGAAAGATCTAGTAAGTAGATTGCATAGATGGCAGGGTCCTTTCCCTGATGCTCTTGTTTCATGTAAGTAACGGTACTAGCAGCTAGAGTTTTGAGCTTGCCTGTCCTGTGGGGATGCAGGTTGGGGCTTCCCATAGCTATTTCCCTGTTTCTTAGATTCAGTAGGATTTAGGAGACCCCTGAGTGAAGTTTCTCCATACCTCTGTTTCCCAGGAAGCTGCAGGTTTCATAGCCATCCTTCATCAGAACCCCAGGCTCCAATGTTAGTGTCACTTCTTTTCCTGGTCTCGTCCCTCTTGAGAATTTCTCCCAGGAATCTGAAACAGCGAAGGATCATCCTGATGAAAACAAGAGTTCTGTCCTTGGCAGTCCTTTAAATGGCCAGATTTTCTTTAGATTCATTAAGCCTCATCTCCCCGGGGAGGATGAGCCCAACCTTGAGGATCCACTAATGGGAAGCGTTGGCGAATCTCATTGGTGCCCTTGCTCAGTTCAAAGCAGAGCCAGCTGTGAGGCCAGGCCTTCTGAACGGGGCAGAGAGGGAAGCATCTGCTGCACCTGAGTACAGTCGTCTTAGTACTGTGTCCCGAGAAAGCAGATGCGGAGGCCTGCAGATGCCTTCGGTCAGCCTCAGCAACATGGGGATTTCTAGAGAATGCTGCTTTTCAGAAAAGGGGAGAAAGAACAGTGGAGGCTTCCCCTCTTCCACCCCACATCCCACCCACCCAGGTTCTTTGTCAACACCATGGTTTGTCTCCAAGAAAACCATCTTTCCTATGCGCTGACTTGGTTCCAGGTGACCAAGCTCATTCATTCCCTTTCTCGAGAGCCTTCCGAAATCCTTCCGATCCCCTTCCTAAGTACAAGAACCATGTATATGTGAACCCTGGCCTTCTCACTATTTTCTTGAAGCTAGCGTCCTGGCTATATGCCCCATCTCTCCCCAGTGATTTCACCTCTATTCAAGGGTTACACTCCAGGGATGAGCACGTAAACACCGCAGGTTAGAGACTATTGAGTGTGCCGTGGCTGACGTCATACTACAAGAAGGATATGAATAGATGAAGTGTCCGCTGTGAACACCAACCTTGGCTTTATATGGCTGTCAGAAGAGCACTACTGTTAGTCACTCAACAAATATTAAACCCCTTCCAAGAAAGAATCGAGGATTCTATGGGTGTCCATTGAGAAAAAGAAAAGAATTGAAAGATGGAGAAGCTGGTACCCAGATATGAGAAGCCAAGCTTTATTACAACCAGCTCACTAACAGCAATGGAGTTCTACTTCCTGTGTCTTGTTGCACTGATGTTCAGGAAAGTAGAAGGAAAGATTATGGGCTGGGGTGAGGCATCACATGGTGATGGTCTGGTCAATATATAAGCTTTTGTATTTTATTTTTTTAATTGATTTTGAGACAAGGTCTTGTTGCTAGCTAGCCCTGACTGGCCTGGAAGTTGCTATATAGATTGAACTGTCATCAAAAAATTCTCCTGCTTCTGTTTCCCAGATGTTAGGATTACAACATGTACCCCACCATACTGGGCTGCTTTTGTTTTTTTTTTTTAAGATATGGGTAATGTTGGGTGTGATGCCACATACCTACAGTCCTGGTACCAAGGAGGCAGAAACACAAGAGCGTGACTGCAAGCTCAAGGCCAGCCTGGTCAATACAGCCAGCTCCAGGTTAGCTAGGGCCATATAGCAAGACCCTGTCTCAAGTGTAGGGCCTATGTAAGTTCTTAAAACAGGAATGGAGGGCAGTTTATCTTCACAGACACTGCAGGAAGTGAGCATGCCTTTCCTACTTTTTGCACTTGACATGGGGCTCAGTGTGGTGGCTGAGGTATAGAGAGAAGTCCACAGGGCTGGGGACCACTTTTCCAACATTACAATTCTAGGTCCCCAGTTTTCCGTACAGGGTTCCTTCATCTGGAATTGGATGTGGAAAGGGGCATCTCCGGCCCTGGCCATCCATTGGCAACTGCCATTTGTAGTAATGCCCTCTCTTTTTCTTTGTCCCTCCTTCTCTCTGTCTTCCTGTCTCCCGCTCTCTGCAGGTTCACTTGCTGAAGGATCAGTTGGCGGCTGAGGCTGCGGCACGGCTGGAGGCCCAGGCGCGAGTGCACCAGCTCCTGCTGCAGAACAAAGACATGCTCCAGCATATCTCTCTGCTGGTCAAGCAAGTGCAGGAGCTGGAGCTGAAGCTGTCAGGACAGAATGCCAGTAAGTTGGGGTCCCATCCAGCCTCCCTCTTCATAAAATAAGTTATTTCCACGATCCGGGGGATGTTTGCTCAGAGCCTTGATGGCACCCTTATAGTTCAATAGAACACAGGCTTCATTGTTACTAGTCTGCACGTTTCATAAATTATAGAATTACAGGGCCAGAGTCCATATTGGCTGCCTTCTATCCACTACCCAGACTTGACCTTGAAGGTCCCTGGGAGAAACTAGTACATATCTGTCCACTCTCTCCTTATAGAAAACTCGGTCACTTTATATTCCAAGAAAGCCCATCTCTTTCTCAGAGAGATTTTCCCAATGAAAATATACGGAGCCCATACGGGGTATCATGTTGTGAACTCTGTGGGTTCCCCCAAACTCTTTAGTAGCTGGTTCTCTGCACTATGTAGATGTCCACTTAATTGATAAGGCGGCTGAGTAACTGTGGCCGTAACTAGAGTCTATGCATAGCCCCTGGTCTGAGATGCTTTGCTACCTGTATACCAGACTCCTCCAAGCTGAACTGGGAAGCAATAGGCAGTCTAGTTCCTGGCCTTTGTCATAAACTTGCCCTTGAGTGGGTTCTAGGCATGCATGAAGCCTGTGTTGACTGTGCGCTGGCAAATACCTACCAATCAGCTATTACACAAAGAACTGTGACCGAATTTTTTAATGTGTAAGTTCCTTTATTCTCTGTAGTAGTAAATGCCATCCTGACCATTGCACAACTGAGGAAACACACTCAAGAGAGGTTTAATAAGTAGCTCAGTCACACAATGAGCCAACAGTGAGTGGAGCCTAGACTCACACTTAAGACTTCACTGCAAATCTGATGTTTTTCTAGCTCTACCGTTGGTTTCCTAATAGCTATCTATCTAATAGCTATTTCCTAATAGCTCATAGCTATCTCATAGTCCAGCCCATGGGGACTTCTCATCAGTGGTCAGAGAAAGGGCAGGGCTGGGGGTCTAAAATGTGTGTAACCCACTCTGGTGTCCAGATTCTCTTGCAAGGTTCCACTATTACCCCGTACTTGAAATGTGGATAGGTTGGTACATTTTCCCCCCATCAAAAATCCTCCATTCAGCATCCTCCCCAACTCTCTGAAAGCTGTCCCCAGCCCCACCCCACCCAGAAGCCAAGTGCATCTGATGTTTGCAAGGGTGGAAGAGACAAAGTGCTGGGTTAAGCTGTAAAATCTCTCAGGGTTGCTGCCGAGTCAGTCAAAGGACCTTTTCAGGGACTGTAATTGCCAGAACCAAGCCTTTCCCAGCCACAAGGGTTAATAAGTAAGCTCCCATTTGAAGCCTTGCCTAACACTGCCTCTCCTTGTCCCTTGTCCCCCTTCAGTGGGCTCCCAGGACAGCTTGCTGGAGATCACCTTCCGCTCAGGTGCACTGCCTGTGCTCTGTGAACCCACCACCCCTAAACCAGAAGACCTACACTCGCCTCTGCTCGGCGCCGGCTTGGCTGACTTTGCCCACCCAGCGGGCAGTCCCTTAGGTAGGCGTGACTGTTTGGTGAAGCTGGAGTGCTTTCGTTTCCTCCCATCTGAGGATACCCGGTCGATGGCGCAGGGTGAGCCGCTCCTGGGTGGCCTGGAGCTCATCAAGTTCCGAGAGTCAGGCATCGCCTCAGAGTATGAGTCCAACACGGACGAAAGCGAGGAGCGTGACTCATGGTCCCAGGAGGAGCTGCCACGCCTGCTCAATGTCCTACAGCGGCAGGAGTTAGGTGACAGTTTGGATGATGAGATCGCCGTGTAGGTGCAGGGCAAGGAAGTTGGCGGAGGTGGCAGCATGATGCCAAGGGGGTCAAGTCTGCCTGTTCCGCGGCAGGGGATGCCCAGGGAAGGCGTGAGAATAACACCCATGGCGGAGAGTGTGGGGCTTCGGAAGAGGGTCAGGATTTTGCTTTGGAAGGTAAATCGGGGAAGAAATTGGATTCCCAGAGACAGGAATCGGCGCCTGCATAATGCTAACGACTGAAGGGGTGGACGCAGGGCTTCCCAGAACCTAGGGCCTTGGGACAAGGTCCGTCTTCAGAACCACAGTTCCGGAAGGCCTGCTGCTACCGCTATTACTATAGTCAGGTTCTACTCAATCTCCCCGGTGAGGCTCACACTCTCCTGTCTCTGTGGTGCGGACCAGAAAGGGAAGCCATTGGTACCTTCTCGGGTACTTTGTTTTTGGATATCAGGATGCTACAAGTTGCCTAACCCTCCCTTGAGCTATAAGAGAATTCCCTCCCCAGGCCCTGGCTGAGACCATAGAGGCTGGATGCCCTGGGCTCCTGGGAAAGGGAGGCTACGCTTGAGTCTGGAGTTGAGGGGAATCACAAGTCAGAGTGGCTAACTAGGAGTTTTCTCTAGCTGGGTGTTGGCTGTTGCCTCTGAGGAAGCTGGGAGTTTTAAGACAGTTCAGGACCCTGATGGGAGAGCCCAGGGGGAGGATAGCTCATTGCTGCTGCAGCTCACTTAGATCTGATCCTTCATTTTGGAAACCCTGCCCCAACCCATTTCCTGCTAGCAGCCCAGCTCATATACATAAGGCCAAGAACTACCCTAACACTCCTTTGTGACAGTGATATGCCTTTGCGCTAGTCTCCGAGCCCAGAGCCCTCTTGCCTTACCTCTGTACCTGTCCCCTCCACTGGGCTGTAGTGGTCAGTACTGTGCGGCGGGGGGGGGGGGGGGGGGG